TGAACCTATTATCCATTCAGTAAGCAACAATAACAAGAGAACAATGAAGGACTCACTAAAGGCAAGTTGCACTAGCACAGGGGTTGTTTTTCAACCCATCAAGGTGGAGATTGTTGGATGATGGCTTGAAACGCTGTCGTATTTGCACTTAAATGGAACGATGTCGCTTTGATCTAAACGACAGAAACAATCCTGAGCGTTGATAAAAAGAAGATCCAACGGCTGAAATTCAACCCTAATGTCAACCATATAAAAGCAATTATTTTGGCAGTTTATGCAATTCGATTCATTTTTCATTTTATACAAGTCTCTCTCTTCTTCGTTAAACACCATCTTTGAGCCTTTAGGGTTTTCAATTTGGGTTGAGTGAATTCTGTAACTTGTTGATTGAGTGACTGGGTCAGGTCATTCTGGGTGTATTGTATACGCTGTATTTTAGTGATTCGAAGGGTGTAATCTCTAGGGTGAGTTATGGGTTGAAGAAGGGGGTTTTGAGGGATTTGTGTTGCTGTGTGTATAATCTGTAATCTTGACAGTATTAGTGCAGTGAGCTCGTGTGATTCTCGAGTTCAACGTGGACGTAGCTTGCTCAAATATAGAGCAAGTGAACCACGGTAAATCTGGTTGTTCTTGTATGTGTTTGGTGTGATTCTTGTTCTTGATCTGTTGCTGTTTTGGTTGATTCTTTCTATGAGTAGTTATAACACTCTTAATAACACACTAATCGCGCTACTTCTGTAACTGTCAAGAGATTAGCTTTGTGCTATTTATAATATTATTAGATCTAAATAATATTGTATTGCCTTTTCACAATAACTAATAATTTGTAATATTTTTTATGAGTCAAGGTCAACCAAAGTAACAAGTTTCTTGGAATCTCTTTATACATTATTGCTAGAAGTCCTTTTTTACCCAATTGTTTTCTTCAATTATAATTGATGAACAATTCAATTTAGGTTTTTAATCCTATTACATTGGACAAATAAGTGTTCATGAGATCTTTCGCTCATTTTTTTCAAAGATTTATTATGAGTTTATATCCTTTTTGGAAAACTTATTTAAGGATTCGGGATAGAGATACAACCGATATGGAGAATAGAAGAATGTTATTAGAAATAAAGGATTTTTAGTTATATGGTTTAGTTTCTTTTAGCATTCATTGTTCTCAACAAGTATTACATAAACCATGATGAGATTATTAAAATCATCCTATCATCATTAAAAAACCATGCAATACTTTCTAATAATTATAACTCTCTTAAAATTTAACATTCCTAAATGAGTGTTTAATATAATAACCTAAAAACTTATTAAAAGTTATTATATCCTTGTTTCTTGTACAAAGTAAGCAATACTTTATTTCTTTTTATTCTTGTGGGTATTGGCTCTCACAATTTTCAATTTCTAGATGGCTTTTTATTCTTGTAGGGCCAAGTTGTGGAAAACCAATTGTCACGACTCATAAACATCTATTTCATGAACACTGACTCAAACATCTTGGCTATTGAAACCTAATATGATTTCCATACCTGATTTTCCAATGAGGCAAGAAGTCTACACAAAAATTTTAATGTAGGGCCAAGTCGTGGAAAAAATGCTCAAGTTGTGGAAAACTAATTGTTACGTCTCATAAACATATATTTCATGAACACTGACTCAAACATCTTGACTCTTGAAACTTAATGCGATTTCCATACTTCATTTTCCAATGGGGCAAGAAGTCTACACAAAAATTTTAATGTAAGGCCAAGTCATGGAAAAAAATGTTCGAGTTGTGGAAAACTAATTGACACTACTCATAACCATCTATTTCATGAGCACAGACTCAAACATCATGACTCTTGAAACTTAATGCAATTTTCATACTTGATTTTCCAATAGGGCAAGAAGTCTACACAAAAATTATTTAATGTAGAGCCAAGTCATGGAATAAAGGTTGGAAAACCAATTATCACGGCTCAAAGACATCAATTTCAGAAAGCAAATCCGACACAAGAATAGACTTTGACATAATCATTTTATCTTATTTTAATTATTAAAACTATGTAATTCAATGTAGATATTACTCATATATATGCATATGATGAATAATATGGTTTTATATTTGTTCAATTGTTAAACAATTAAAATTTATTATATCATTTATACCAAAAAAAAAAAAAAAAAATCTTATTATATCTATAATTTATACAAGTGCTCCAAGTAAAAGAATATATTGACAAGACCCATCCCAACCTTCTCTATCTAATAGGATCCAAGCATTCCTATAAGACTTAAGAACCAAGATAAGTCGTGTATGAGTATAAAAAAACTAAAATCTTTTTGAACTTTCATAAATCTCCTTAGTACCAAATCCATTTTCTAAAGATATATTGGGTTTCAGGCCTACAAACAAAACATATGGAAATATGCATATAATAAGTCTATGGGTAATAGACCCTCATGTAGTGAAAGACAGAATATGCGACATTACACACTAAATAGATTGATGTCGCATGAGCCCAACCTCAATTGTGGAAAGTCACTGCTTCGCACAACCCCTATGGTCAACTAGGAGGGGAAAATTTTAAAAGGGTGAGCTAAAAATACTAAGTGAGTGGATGATTTTGTAAAACATTTTTCGAAAAATCATAAAGTATGAAAATAAGTACTTATAAACTGTTTACTTTATTAATTCATTTTTGATATAGTAAAACTGATAACATATAAATGATTTGACATCGTACACTAATAACTGTTCTAATATTGTAAAGCCAAGAACTGATCTAATACTATAAAACTAATAGTTGATACTGAAGTTCTCACCACAACTAGTACCCAGGGGAATATTTGTCATACCTAGTGGGTGACGCACACACAGGCAGAGTAGGGAAAAATATGTCATACTTGGAAAGCTCTAACATCGCACGGACAAAGCAACTAAAGCTGTCATACTTGGCGAGAAGCTCATTGCTCAGACAGAGCAGCTAATCTTGTCTTACGCATGCATACAATCAATATGTGAGATTTGTAAATATGTATCTAAAAATCTCTAAATTTGATCTCTAAGGAATGGGTACTTCGCAGGGTGGTTTTCAAACCACTATAAATCTTATGTTTAGTCTAATGCATTATTTTCATCATAATGTTGGCCTTTTTAACTATTATAACATTATAATAATAATTTATGATATACTATTATGGGGCTAAAATGTAAATAAAGAACATGAGATTACTTTTATATTAATTGTACTAAGGATTCAAATAAAACTTTACAATTAATTATTAAATACAAATTGCAACTCACGAACTAGGGATGGGCATGGGCCAGTGACCACTGTCTCCGGGCGAGCCTGACCCGCCCCTAGGACGGGGATGTTGGGGAATCCCCAGGCCAAGCCCCACGAGGATTTTCATTTTCAAGAGTTAAAATTTAAATAGAAATAATGAAAATAGAAACTATGGTAATTAAATGACAAATGCTAATGTAAATTAATATGTTATAACATAACTAGATGACTTAAAAATTAAAATAAATAAAGTTATTGTGTAATTAATAGAAAGCCCAGCTCCATCTAGATCTCCAAATTTCAGATTCAGCACCTGCCACTGTCTTTGAATCCTTAATTCCATGGCAGCGTGTGTTGCCACACCTCACCAATGTCACATTCCACCATTCTTTCTCCATCATCATCTTCAGGCCCACATTCATCCTGGTCTTGTTCATCCTCAAAAGGCCATTCCTTTACGAAGTGTCTGCTATCAAGAACTACTTGGCTTGCCCAACCCACTAGTTTTGATCGAGTCTTTCAAAAGCACATTCCTGTACAAAAAACACAACTTCACTGCTAACATCAGCTCCAGGCTCAAAGGCTTCAAGTTCTTCACCATTACAAAGCTCATGAATTGTGTATTCTAATAACCGAGTGCTTGGATTCACTGGACGATGCACAATATGATCTCCAACAATTACGTTGTTCATAGATTTCAATACATAATCAAGTAAACCAGTGTCGTCAATTTGCTTCCTAGCTAGCTGCTTCTCTTGCTTCCTTCGACTCATCCCACTGCGACCAAACTTCTCCGTTTTCTTTTCTAACAATACATTCACAATCACTTCTGCTGCAGATTCTAGTCTTCCTGCAGACCATCTACATTCCATATTAGCAATCAAACTAGTGAATTTTATTTTTTTGTTTTTTCAAGATGCATGTGGACTAAACACTAGTCTCATAAAACACCATCACTATGCTTAAAACACCATTGCCTGGTTGTGATGACGGTGCATATCATCGAGTGTTCAAGGCTTTACTTCCTTTCGAGAAAGAGGAAAAAAAGAGGGTGCGTGTTTAATTATTTTGTATATGATTTAGTTGGTAATTTTCTTTCTGCTTTGTTGGGTCAAAATATCCAGTTGAAGATGATGTGCCGCCACGTCAGTCGGTATGGGGCTGTTAGTTGATATAGTATTATTGCGATATAGTATTATTGCTGAAATTAATTTCAGTAACTAGTGAATATAAATGTAAATTAAAGTCAATTAACTTGTAACATTACTGGGAAACCAGTAACGTTTTTCATGGTAAGAGATTTGGGAAATACGCATCATTTCGTCGTCTCTTTGCTTAATCTCTGGCTGAGAAATATGGTCCTTTTATGTACATACAGCTCGGCCAGATTTTCCACCATTGTTGTCTCTTCACCTGAAAGTGCTTATGAAGTACTGAAAACTCATGATCTTCGCTTTGCTCATAGAGCTTTGGCCTAATTGAATGTGAATAAAATAATTTGTATTATATATCATGAAATCCAAAGAAACAAAAATAATTTAATTTTATAAATTAATAATTTGATTTGCTACAATAAAAATAAAATAAATATGTTAATAATTAAGGTTTTAAGGGGTATAATTGGAATTTAAATTAAATAGGAATATTTGTAAGGGACCAAAATGTATTTAACTTGGTTTTGTCTACACAAAACAAAATGGCATGGGTGTTATTCAGTGAGAATCTGAAGTCATTTTGTTTTGTCAAAAGTTGCCCAGATAACTATTAACAAGAGCATGGGCTTCCAACATACACATCCAACGTTTATCCAACAACACAATGGCGGTGCTACTACGTTGTTCATGCTTCTTTACACGGCCAACCGCCCTCCCATCTCCACCGTCTGATCATTTCTCCGACAAACCCCATGTGCCCGGTTAGTTATTCTTTTACACTCCAGAAATTTTGCAGCTTTTCGTTCATGCTAGAAGCTTTAGTAGTTCAAGCTATGTTTGTTAACTTAAACTGGTTGTAATGTGTGTGTTGATCTGAATGTTATTAGTTTGGGTGAATTCTTGCATATTCTTTCTGGGCTTTTTGTTTTTAGTGAATGCGAATGGAAAATGAAGTTGATTTGGGATTGCTGCTGTAGAAAGCTCAATTGGGTTAGTGTTATTTGTTGTTTTGTTTTGTTTGTTCGTCGTGAGATTGGATAAAAGATGGGGAGGTTAAAGACAAGTTTTTTGAGGCTGGGGTTGAGTGTATTGTTGTTGCTTTAGTTCAATTATCTATTTATACTATAAAAATGTGTTCTTTTATGTCCAATTATCGAAGGACATGGCAGATTTTGGAATTTTTATATGGCTTTTGTGATAAATTTGAGGTTTTTTCAAATGAAAATTTGGATTTTTTAATATAATGATATGTTTGAATATATTTCAGTGCTTTGCTTCCATTTTCTAATGATATGTCAAGTAGCACACACAAATCATACTTTTGGCGTGTGATTTGTGATCCTAGTATGTATTTGTTGTCTTGGAAAAATGTGAAATGCTGAAAGTGTTCAAGGAAAAAGGTTAAGTGAGTTTAATCTGCATAAGATGATTGAGTTGTTGGTCATAGAGGAGGATTACTTCGTGATGGATTCATATGATATGCGAAGAGTCCTTGGAATACAGAATTTGATCTGTAGTATATAGCATTCTGCTAGCATAATGCCAATGCAGTTCAAGTCCTTATATTGGTTTTACATCCTTATACAACATCTGAGGTTAATTCTTTGTATTGAATCAGGGAAGTTGGTTTCGCTTCTATTCAAAAAGAAAAAGATGGCATCATTTTTAGGAAATGCTTCCAGAGTTAGTCATCAAAGATTTGATGGACTCCATGATTTGGAAGGAAATCAGGATTTCAGTAAAATGCCACCACCACATGAAATTTTTTTGGACAAATTATCAGCAGATCAGGTACGATGGTGAGTTCCTCAGTGTTTGCAACTAAATGCTGTTTTTTTCTGCCTCAACATAGATATTATTATCTTTTTGTTTGTTTGTGTCAAAACTGGTGTTAAAAGAACTCCCTTTGATGAAACGTAAGGAATCACAATCACCCTGATTTCAAATCTTAAAGTCTGCTGTGAGGGGCACCTTTATGTCTGCCTTTTTTGCTTAGTTCTAAAATGAGCATATATAGCTAAACTTTTGCTGGAAAACCGAATAAAAAACCTGTACATAATGCTGCTTTCTAAGGCTTTGATACTCGTTATTATTAGAATGTAGTAGTTGTTCATATAACAATTTTGTTTCTAAAGTCTATATCATTTTTTTATCAAAGCACAAATCTATTATAATTAGTTCTCGGTCTCTGCCCTGTATTAAATTCGAGCCACATCTGCATGGCTAACGGGAGGATCAGAGGTTTCTGTTTTGACTGTGATTGTATTTATAAGTTATTTTACTTCAGTTTCTGATCTGATTAATATAATTATTGTCTCAGCAAAGAAAGTTGCTACTGAAATCAATGGCAACAGCAATGATTGTGTTTATAAGGAAGTGCTCTGACAGTTGATGACGGGACGATCAAGCTTCTACAAACTGTTTATCTGGCAGAGGACGTCATAAACACTTTATAGATTTTCTGAAACAGAAAGTTTTTTTTTTAAGTTTCCTTCTTTCTTAAGGTCATCCAAGGTGCAATTTCGTTTCAGCAACGAGATAAAAAAAATGTTTGGATCAGTTGACCAACTTGGTGCCCATTGAGGTGTGAAAAAGAACTTATGATGAAAACCCTAAAAGCATTTTCGAATGGTTCTATGGTATTACTGAAAAACGTTAGGAAGTTTTGGATGAAATAAAGCAACAGTACTTGCAAACAGCTTTTCATCAGATAAATAATGAAGAAGATATTGTTGGTTTTGATTCTCAAATTTCGGAATTAAGAAGATTAATTTTGACTAGTGAGAAGCTTCTAATATCGGTGGTGGGTGTGGGAGGCTCTGGTAAGATAACTAGCGAAAAGAGTTTACAACCATTCAGAGATAAGGAAAATTTTCCACAACCGTGCTTGGGTTTGTGTTTCACCGGATTTTAAAGAGAAAAATCTTTTAGTTCAGATATTGAAGCAGGTGACCGAGGTTAGAGATGAAGGGAAATTGCCACTGTAGATATTGCAGCAGAAGCTTCGTAATTTATTAAACACGCAGTGGTACTTAACTGTCTTGGATGATGTCCATGGACCTGCTATATGGGAGAAACTCCAAGTGGTCTTTCCGAACTCATCAAATGGTAGCAGGGTCATCCTAACTATTCGTGACCCTGATATAGCAACTCATATTGATCCAGAAACTCCAAGTGGTCTTTCCAAACTCATCAAATGGTAGCAGGGTCATCCTTACTATCTGTGACCCTGATATAGCAACTCATATTGATCCAGCCATTCCTCTTCTCCAAGTAAATCACTGAGTACAAAAGTTGGAGTTTGTTTTTGAAAAAGGCCAAAAGAGAACCAAGAGACGAAGTGTTTTCTCGGGAACAGATTCGGGAGAAAATCTTGCGAAAATGTGGGGGTCTACCTATTTCATTATATGTTCTGGCTGGCTTTTTGTCTAATATAGAATTTAGCACAGCTGCATGGTTAGGGGTGATTGAGGATCCAAAGGGAAATAAAAAAGAGAAGAAACGGCGGTTAATACTAGCAAGCAAAGAAAACAACAGAAAGCTAGAATAAGTGATCATACTCAGTAAGAAGCTAATGTAGCAGGGGAAGAAAATCACTCAGCTTTGTTAGAGGAGCCCAGTCCAAATATTTTGGCTTTGGGCTATCATGGCCTATCTTATCCTCTAGGTCCATGCCTCATTAGGCATAGAACCTTCAGATGTGAAGCACTCTTTATTAACCACTTTGCCTAATTCCATCTGGAAGGCAAAGAACCTTCGACATCTCTATACGAACAGCATTTTTCTTAAAGTTGTGATAACTGACAATGGGCATCCAATCAACCTTCAGACCTTACGGGGCGTAGTAGTAGGCCATACTAGGCGTACAGTTAACTGGTTGAAAAGGTTGAGGTGTATAAGGAAATTGGGATTGACATGCCACACAAACTCAATTCCAGAAATAGCTGATTGGATTTCACAATAGAACAGTCTTCAGTCTTTGCAATTGAAATCAATGGATGACAATAATAAACCTTCACACCTCCATTTCCATCCATGTTGAGTCACACAATGCTGTCAAACTTGTATTTGGTCGGAATGATCAATCGACTTGACATAAAAAAACTTATCCAAAATCTCAGAGTCCTTACATTGTCAAGGTATCATCTATCAGAAGACCCAATGCAGACACTAGAAGGGCTGGAACAACTGAAAGTGCTTAGGCTTTTCTCTAATTCTTACTCGGGGAAAAAGATGCATTGTCCTATTGGCAGCCGTACATTTCCCCAACTCCAGGTATTGAAGTTATGGATGCTAACATAGTTGATAGAATGGACTATCAACAAAGGAGCCATGCCTGCCCTACGAGATTTAGAGATTAGATTAATATAATAATTTGAGTAAATTAAACTTGTTAGAAAGAGGATTAGTTACTTTTTAAATGAAATAACAATTAACAATTGATTTTGTATACTGCATCACCAGATTAGATGTATAGTCAATTCAATTTAAGCACATGATTTCAACGCCAAAAACAACATCACATCTTAGATTTCTTAATTTTATCACCCATCAGTTATACGAATACATAATTCATTAGTAAAAAATAAGATAAAATCTCTAAATTTTGTTGTCATCTAAGGTATTGCTCGGTAGGCTTTCTTCAAGCACTAACATCATTCATTAATAAATGCATTATTTGAAATTACAAAACATTTGGCACCCTGAAGAGAACGTCAAAACATGCAATTTTGCATGACATTTACATATATTCTGACTAACTATTTCATGATCAAATCACTTATAGAGATGATCTACAACAAAATAGTAACAGGATGTTGTCCACAACTCAACAATATAAAACCATCTACGATGCCAATAAGGGTTTATCAACAAAACTGCAACAATCTTTAAGAGCATAATTACGGAGGACACAACAAAACTGATATAGAAGATATTCATATCAATGAAATCATTGTCTTCTCTAGTAATATTTGAATCTTTTGGTCGTGATTCAATTACATTGCAATTTTTGGGCAATGGTTGTCCACAAAGAAATGGATTTCCCTCATAACTACTTTCTTCAAAGGTTCCAAATTGTGCAATCCTATCAAGGAGTTTACCTAATAAATTATTGTGTGCCACACTAAAAACAGCCAAATTATTTAACTCAACAAGTTGGGAATGGATTTTCCTAATCAAATTGTTGTATGAAAGATCTAAACTCTCGATCTGCTTGAGATTTGAAAATGTCGATGGGATTGGTCTTGTCAAGTTGTTGTGAGAGAGGTTAAGTGTATGGATTCCGACAAGATTTCCAATTTGATAAGGAATCACACCAACTAACTTATTGTTGGAGAGATCAATTCCATACATGTAGGCAAGAAGTCTTCTTTGGTAAGAGTAAGATATAGTCTTCATTGTAAACTCTACACTTTCTTCCTCTCTAAGAGGTATAATTCGACCCAAATGAGAATCAAATACAAAATCAAAAGCGGCAGTAACTATTGTGATATTTAAACAAGGAGGGATATGTCCAAAAAGCTTGTTGTGAGAAAGATCTATTAAGCGTAATTGAACTAACTTACGCAAACAAATTGACACTTCACCTTGAAAATCGTTATTACTCAAGATAAGGCAAGTTAAATTAGAAAGCATACCAATCCAATTAGGAATGTTGCTTTCAAAGTGATTATATCCAATATCTAGTGTCGTTAGAGAAGAACTATTGGATAATCCATCACTTAGTTGTCTCTGTAACTTATTTTTTGACAAATGAACTTGTTTAATTGATGAAGGGGGAAAGCAAGATGGTAAACTCCCAATAATATTGTTCTCTGAAAGGTCTAATACTTCAAGACTTTCTAGTTGACAAAACCCCAATGGGATTGGACCTTCAAGATGACTCTTTGACATTATACTATCTATCAAACATGACTTATTTCCTAACCACCTTGGTAATGTGCCAACAAGATGGTCATCACTTATATACAACCCTTCCAAGGAGTAATTAGACAAACTATCTGGTATCTTTCCAGTGAAATGATTGCAATCCAATTGTAAATGTAGCAAGTTTTTCAGGTTAAAATTTGTAGGGAATATCTGACCTTGCAAACTATTGTTTGACAATACAAGGAATTGTAATAAGGTGCAACCCATGGCCAAATACTCAGGTATTCCTCCAGTCAACAAATTGTTAGACAAATCCAAAAACACCAACGACTTCATGTCACCAAACGAAGAGGGAATGCTACCATTTAAAGCATTTCTAGAAATGTTTAAAGTTCGTAGCATTGGTAGATAAGCTTCAAATTCTGTTGGAATATGCCCATGGAAGGAATTGATGGATATATCTAATTCTTTCAAAGACATGTGAGGCTGAATTGGTAATTGCAAAGGCCCTGAAAGAGATTTATTAACTAGAAAATGTCTTTCTAGCTTGGTATTGTTGTTTAACAACCAAACTGGAAACTTTCCCTTCAAATTAATTTTAGAGAGATCAACTTATTGTAAGTCATGTTGCCTGTAGAGGAATTTGGGGAATGAAACACTATATCCATAACTAGGTAATATGAGGAAATTTAATTGAAATTTTGGGGCCAAATATTATGACTCAATTCCTGCATATATTTCATTATCTACCATAGAAGTTCTTAAGCTTTGAGTGGTTAAAAAATGGTTCAAGGGAAACAGGGATATGGAAATGATTGTCTGAAAGCCTTAATTCTTGGATGGATGTCAGCATCTTAAGGGGAGATAAGGAGATATTTCCCATAAAATCATTGTATGAGATATCTAATACTTAAAGGGATGTCAAGTTTGCAAGACACCAAGGCAAAGTACCCATTAAACCATTGGCCCAAATCTCTAAGTGTTGAAGATGAAGCATCTTATAAATTCCTGAAATTAAAAAATGTTCCTTGATAGTCACTATATGAAGCACAAGAGTAATTATAGTCATATGCAAATGTTACTTAATCAATATGCTTAATAATTATTATAGTGCACAAATTTAATAAATATACTAGCTATGTGCGCTATTTCTTTTTTTTCTTTTTTAAAAGAATTATTTATATAAATTATAAATTTTACTTGTAAGAAGAGGGAAAAATTACTAATCTTGGTCAAATAGAGTGTTGTTGACGTTGAGGTTACTTCTTATAATTTTAGTATATTGAAGAAAAGTCATACCCCTAATCATTTGAAGAAAGTTGTTGTGAAAAACAGTATTGTAAATAAATAAATTTGTCAGATTCTTGAATGAAACAAACTCCACAAAACCAAAAAAGTAAATAAAATATTGTTCAATAATCTACACCAATTATTATAATATTCTAAATTGAAAAGAACATTCAATATGGTATAGGGACTAAACTAGAAAAAAAAATTCATCAAGGTTAAATAAAATCTTAAATACAAATATATATATATATTTCAAGGTTTTTAAAAGGCTTTTGATAATTTTATGTGAGTATTTAAAAATTGTAAGAGATTTTTGAGACATATGAGACTTTATGGTCTTTTAAGTTGATCATAAATCCTAATCTTTCTTAATTAGTTTGATTTTGTTGCTTTTAACAAAAGAGTAATGTTGGCTGCAATTTCTTAAAGAGGAGTCCATACATTTTATCTAGTCTAAAAAACAAACAACCTTTTTAGACTTTCTATGGGGGACCACTTTAATTCTCAAAAAGGATATTTCAACTAAAATTTAGCCATGAATTTTGTGAACCAATTTCAATAAAATATTTTACTACATTTATATCCTTAATTAAAATAGGATATGGGCTTAACCTTAAATAATAATAATAATAATAATAATAATAATAATAATAATAATAATAATAAAAAGTAAGATGGGCTAAAGAGCATATCTTTATTAGGTAATGCAGCACGGCCAGTAGCGGCTTGAAAAGTCCATGATTTAGGAAAATTGATGTGGGTTACAAGCACCTTGGAAAATTAGATGAGGGCCTCCTTAGAAAGTAAAATAGTTCTTTCTCTTATATTTTCTATTTGCATTATATAAGATATTTTTCCTTATATTTTGTATGCATCCAATAATATATATATACACTTCTAAGAAGGTGGGGGGTGGGGGGCCTCTTGTTACTTTTTTTATTAATAGGTTTGGCACTTTAATGCAGTAATCATGTTTATTTCTATACATGACATTATTAATTATAAATTATAAATTTTGCTTGTAAGGAGAGGGAATAGTTACTAAACTTGGTCAAATAGAGTGTTGTTGACGCTAACGTCAATACTAAAAATTTCAATAGATTGAAGAGAAGTCATACCCCCCATCATTTGAAGAAAGTTGTTGTTAAAAACAGTGTCGTCAATATTTAAATCTATCAGATTCTTGAACTAAGATAACTCTACAAAAGTACAAAAGTAGATAAAATATTGTTCAATAATCTACACCAATTATTTAATATTCTAAATTGAAAAGAATATTTAATATGGTATAGAGGCTAAACTAGAAAAAAGATTCAGCACGGTCAAATAAAATCTTAAATACAAAAATAAAAAAAGATAAAATTACATTAATAAAGAAAGAAGAGAAATAAAGTTGTGTTCAGTTTAATAAGTGTGAAAACAGTAAAATGTAGGTTTAAAGAGAAAAAGGTTAGACTAAAAAGCAACTTTAATTAATATATCCTTGTTTCGAAAAATAAATGATCTATAAATCTATAAATCAATTTTCAATTCATACAACTAATCAATTCTCATTCAATCCTTTAATAAAAAGCAAAATTCAATTTTTTTTTCATTTTATTTTGTGGAAATTGTAGATAATATGGAATGAATCCTAAAAATTGTCTTTTGTCAATGAATGCATTAGACTAGAGTTTTAATTCCACTTTTCAGTTTTCTTGATCATTATTTACAAATTACGCAAACTTTCAGGTGACGTAAATGCTCCAATGCTTCGAAGAAAGTTTATATGGAAAGTAGAATAATAAAAGCTAAAGTCTACTTTTCTGTTGAAAAGGCAGAATAAATTTTAGGAAAGTTATTGTGTAATTATGACAATAATTTAAAGGAAGAAAAAATTAATGTACTTACTTTCAATATTATTGTAACTTACCGTTAGTAGTAACTACTCCACTAAAGTTGTTATACAACAATTCAACAATCTTTAGGGATGGGAATAAGCTCAATGTATGTACAAGACTGTTTCTATCACTAATACTCACATTTCTTAGACTAAACCAAATCAACTTCCTTAAACTTGTTTCACTTGTGTGTTTGCGAAAATATTCAAACACAAATATTTTCAATGCTTTTTCAAATTGAAAAAAAAAAAATTCTTTAAATTTATTTGATTTAACAATTATAATAAAAATACCTAGTATGTGTGTGCTATTGTGTGTCTCATAAAGCAAAGCAATATTGGTAAAGGATGAGAAATGTAAGTTTAAATATTATTAACCTTCAATAAATACCTTTGGAGAATACAATTTTTTTTAATCTCATTTCTGCCCATGTACAACTCCTCTAAGTTGCTCAAAAAATCCAATTCTAGCAAAAGTTAAAACAGAGGGATTAAAACTAAACAAAAAGTATTTAAGAAGACTTTTAATTTCTTTGAAGGCAATGACAAAGTCCTTTGATGATGAAAGACCAAGTAGAGATATGATAAGATGCTATTAAAACATTTTTATCATCAAAACTTAATTAATAGGTTTCCCTAAGCCAATATTAATTACTTGTAGATATCCATAGGCTTCAATATTGTCTTTCTAAATGAATATAAGTTTTATCCCTTCTGACAAATCTCATTTCTGTTCATCTACTCTACCTTCTTTGTGTTGGTCAAAGAGTTTAATTATAGAGTCAGCTAAAACCATGAGAAAATGAAGAAGATGTTTGGACATACAAAACTAATGTTTCAGAAAGAATCTTATTCAAAGCTTTTAATTTACTTGAATGCAATATCTCCAACTCTAGTTTGACAAAGCAAAGAGAGAGAGCATTCAGAACATAATAAATTGTTATACATGAGAGAAATTAAAGATTAGAAGCAAGCTTACCTTGAAAATCAATGGTGCCTTTCAATTCGATGTCATACATATATAGTTTCTTTAGTGATAAGAGAGCAGACACATATGATAATATGCTCTTGTTGAACATGTTACCGCTTAAGCTCAGAAACTTCAAGTTACTCAACCTTGAAACTGAAATCAACACATATAATAATAGTAATAATAATAACCGTGCATAGTTTTGTGAACCAATCTAAATATAAAAGTGATAATAAAAGTTGTCATTTAAAAGAATATTACCATTAAAATGGTTTAGTTCTCTAAACTGATTATAATCTAGAATTAAATTCTCGAGAGATGAATGTTGGCTCAAAGCTAATAAAACATGGTTGTCATTGAACATATTGTAACTAAGGTCAAGATCCATGAGATTATTCAAGTGTGACAATCTTTCAAAACCTACAAAGCAATTCTTGTTAACAAAGGCATGGAAGTAAATTTTCATTATTTAAACTAAGGATGGAAAAACCTTCATTCTCAACAAAACTGGCTATAAGATTGTAACTTAATTCAAGCCTTTCCAGATCTTGGAAGGGAGAAAACAAAAAAAAATTTAGATACCACTCTCCTAATTCCTGATTTCTTGTATTGAAAAGAAAAAGTGAGGATACTCTGCCAGTTGAGCTGCTACATTCAATCTTTTCCCAATCACAACAATTTGAATTTCCATGTCCCCTCAATCCAATTTTGAAGATGGTTAGGATCATTGAAGAAATGTTTAAGTTGCAAGAGAGCAGATCTCTATTGCTTCAAACACCCCCCAATCCTCCATCCTTGTAAAGAAATAAACATCAAAATCAACAACAGCCACATCCTCACACATTTTAAACTCATCTCTTAATAAAACACTAATTGCACTGCTTTTGTGATTGCCAAGAGATTAGCTTTGTGCTATTTATAATATTATTAGATCTCAATATTATAATACTATTAGATCTCAATATTGTATCGACTAAAAAAATAAAAGTATTGTCTTTTCAACCAACAACTTCATTTGTTGTAGGGCATAGAAGAGGTCAATAAGGACAAAATTAATGTTGGACCCCACTATTGTGGAAGGAAAATTCCCAATGAATGCAACTAGCTTGAAAAAGTCAAATTACGCAGTTTCATGAAAGCAAATTAAATGATTTGAGACTGCTCAACCATAACTAATTTTATTAAGTATCGTTAGATTGTTAAATAAATTATATAAAACATTTTATTTTTATATTGTCATATAGAGTGTTGTTCGCGTGTGTCCCACAATTTCAATTAACAAAATCAATTTCTATATATATAATAATTTTTAATTTATATACATCCATATAATATATATGAAAAGGTTTAATTAGTACAACATTTTGATAAGCAAATTTTGATCTTTAAAAGCTACTCTAACTACTTTTAATCTTGTGGTATTGGCTCCCACAATTTTCAATTTCTAAATGGCTTTCTATTCTTGTAGGACCAACTTGTGGAAAAAAGGTTCTAACTTATGGAAACCAGTTATCACAGCTCATAAACATCTATTTCATGAAGACTGACTCAAATATCATACTTTAGTTTTCTAATAGGGCAAGAAGTCTACACAAAAATTATTAAATGTAGGGCCAAGTCGTGGAAGAAAGGTTGGAAAAATCAATTATCACGACTCAAAGACATCAATTTCATGAAAGCAAATAGACTTTGACATAATCATTTTATCTTATTTTAATTATTAAACCTATGTAATTCAATATAGATATTTCTCATATATATACGGATATGATGAATAATATGTAGGACCAAGTTGTGGAAAAAAAGTTCAAGTTGTGGAATATCAATTGTCACAGCTTGAAAACATCTATTTCATGAAATAGACTAATATTATTACATAATTAAAATCCTATGGCCAAGATTCAACAAGCATAATTAAAATACTATGGCATAATTAAAATGTTTGATAATGTTTGTCTCTATCCCTCACCTAACACAGCCACTATCTTCATGAGAGAAAATAATAGAGACACCGGGAGTACTGCACCGAATGACGTGACATAATCATGATCGTCTATTAATTATAACTTAATATTAATCGACGGTCAAAATTTTGTCACGTCATTCGGTGCACTACTCCCGATGTCTGTAACATTACTCCTTCATGAGTCCCACCCCAAAATTAATCTGAAAGCAAAAAGGGTGTTGGTCTTACTTTAAGAAAAGGGTTGGGGACAAATTTGCACCATTTAATAAAAATAATATATTTTTTTATTGCTAATATATATTAATTCAATTAAATTAAAAAGTTTTGCACTAAGGATGTTGGTTTTCTCTTTTATCTTTAAAAAGGAGTCTTCTTGTATTGTTTGAATTGGAGAAAAGAATTGTGAAAGAGAGGAAGACTTGGAAAAAGATTAATGAGTTTTAACTTATTTTATAATAAAGAAACCTTTTTAATTTTATATAACTGTAGACCAACTTGACTTAACTAATACGGCACGACTCGTGTGTCATGTCCTGCTGGTCCCAAGCCCATTTTATTTTCGTTTTCTTTCAATTAAATTTGACTGCATGTGGGGCTCCCATTTTAGTATAAAAAAATCTAAATTGGAATAAAATAATAGTTTATTCTTATTTCTTTTTAATTTTTTTTCTATTTTAAATCAAAATTTGTAACTTAAAATTACAAGAAAACCCGTGGTTGATATATTTGAGATAAACTCTTTAAGACGAACAAAATAAATGTTATTTTGAAATGGTTTTTTAGACAAATATACCGAACACGTTTTTATTTCTCACATTTTTAGATAGAATAATATTATATATATATAAAGTGATATGTCATACCATGATTGGAAAAGTAAATTTGACTTTAATTAATAAATTTAAATTAACTTTACAAATTTATTCTCCTGATCATGGTATGACACATCACTTTCACATATATTATTGTATAAAGACTTTGTAAGTATAGTATTATTCTTTCGAATATATTTTCAGACAAACATGTCAATTGCGTTTTAATTTTTCACATTTTTCAATCATTTTCAATATTCTAAAAAGAATAGAAAACATAAACACAGCCTATGTTTTCTAACACTGGTTATAATAACCAATAGTTATATTAACATAAGAAGACATCGAAGCCGTTAAAAGTTACTTAAGTCATTAATGGAATATGAACTTCATTTTAAGTCCGTCAGTGATAATAAGTTCAACGATGTTGTTTTGATATTCAATACATGAATGAAGAAGCAAATCTTTCCAGTTAAAAGAGTAAGTGCCTTTGTTCCGGTAAAATTAGCTAATGCTACTGCAGTCCTCATCAAATCACCATGGGCGGAAGCGCGGAGTTATGATTTGAAACTCTTTTCAATATGATTACAAATACACTATGAGCTTTTGGTTAGAGGTAATTAAAGATTATTGAAATTATGTCATCTTATATTACTTAATTACTCTGTTTAACTATCAAGTAATAAAAGATTCCGATAATCTTGCATTGCCAATACATATTGGAGGTAATCTAATTACCTCAATTTTCTTAGGTAGTGTAAGATTACCAAGGTAATCTCATTTTTGTTACAATTTTATCCATTATTAATAAAAATTTTGGACAATAATGTCCCTGTTTTAAAATAAATTTACATTAATATACTATTTCAATTTTACCCTTGTTTAATTAAGTTTTTAGACAATAATGCCCTAATATTTAAAACAAATAATAGACCACCATCGCCACCCAGCCACCATCACCAACTGCGGGCCAACCACTACCGAAAAGTCGCTAGAGTCCTTGAAAATGACCGAGATTCGCAGGGAGGCTCCGGGAGGCTTCGATATTGTCGTTTCAGACCATATTGATGGCTGAAAACACCCATATTAGGCCGAAAATGGCCAGATCTATTATGACCATTTTCGGCCAGATCTAGGTGAGATCTAGCCGTTAATATCCATGGACCTAGTCGTTAATGGTTAGATCTCGCCGATAATAGCCAGATCTGGTCTGATATGACCGTTTTTAGCCATCAATGTAGCCAGAAACGACCATATAAGAGCCTCGTGGTCACGGTGAGCTACTCAGGCGAATTTCAGAGACTTCCGACGGTGGCGGCGTGGGGAAGGGGGAAATATTGGGGGTTAAAAGAAATTATTCAAAAATTAATAATAAAAAATATTATATTAACATTTAAAAAGAGGGTAATTTAGTAATTTAAATAATATACCCACCAATTTATTCTCCCTAACCAAACATATTAATATAACATACCCAATAACTAACCGAGCATATTTTCCTAAAGATTCCCAATAATCTTTAAGGTAATTTAAGATTCCAGTAATCCAACATTCCTTGAACCAAACGCCCCCTATAAGATAACTCGACATATTCTAAAAGTCACAATACAACCCTTTAATTTTCTTTCACCTTTCTTTTACCTTGTACTTTTTGCATATTTTTCTTTTTATCTTGTCCATTTATTTTATCTCTCGCCCCAACTTTATATATATATGTCACATAAAATTCAATTTTGATTTGTGGGTTTTATTAATTTCCTTTCCAAAAGATCAAATAGCTTGGATTTTTCAGATAATTAACTAAATTTCAATAGTACTTGAGTAATGTTTTAAGTTTGTTATATAATTGATAATTTTGTTTTTTTTTTTTTTTAAAATACGAACTAATGTTTGATTTACTTATATTTGAGATATGAAGTTATTAGATTGAAGTAATAGAGAAAGCCCCTAAAATACATGAAAAGTATGTTGTAATTTACTAATTTTATTATTTTCTCCGTTACCGTCAAATTAGAAGTTGAAGCTCTCAATATCTGACATGTTAATGCTATATATATATATTTTAAAAAGATATATAATTGAGAATCTAAAATATAAGTTATTTTAAGTTTTCTAAGTATGAACTAACAATTATATATTAATCATAAATTTGCTTAGATTTATTTGCATAAATTAATTATTATTAAGTTCAACGGTAAATTTATTGACTAATTAAACATAAAGTATAATAAGTTATGTTAGAAGTTGTATTTGTCTCACATCGTTAAATTGGTGGACTATTATGGTATATATATGTGGTTGGGCTAGCTCTCTCTTCCCTTGAATTGGCTTTTGAGTTTGAGTCCTACCTGAGCTCATTTATCATATATATTGTCCCTCTCTAGCTTGCTTTTGCTTTTTGGGCTTGGATAGAAGCTTTTTCCATCCACCACCACCCATAGACTAAAAAAAAGAGCCCTCAATCTGGTAAGTTTCTCGTGTTTAGTCAAATTAAGTCGTAAGCTCTGCTCTTGGTGGTGCCCTTCAATCAATACCTTTAAGTTTCAGTCTTGCGACCATACTCTCCCCAAAACCCAAAGACTTTGATTTCTCGTTAGGTGTCAGGGGAGTCCTAAAAGCAACATCCATTGATCCCTAGTTGGCACACTTTTTGGGCTTGTATAGAAGCTTTTTTGGGGCTAGGGTGGAAGCTTTTTGGGCAACGGACTTGGGACTTGGGTAGAATCTTTTTGGGCTTGGGTAGAAGGCTTGGGTTCTACCCAAGCCGGTTTATAAAGTTATTACGATGTAAGACAGATTTTTTCAAATTAATTTGTTTGTACATCAAATATTACTCCAAAAATAAAACCAAGAAATGCAGAAATTATTAATATCCTATCTATATCTTACAATGATTTAGTATCACAACAACTATTTCAAAATAAGAGAAGGTCTCTCATGATTATGAGAT